GAAACTGAGAAAATCCAAATAAAGTTCTCATTCATGTTTTTCTTACATTACAAAGGTTCAGAAGCTATCTGCTTCATAAGTTACACTTTCCATGCCCTCAGCATGATCTAAATACTTCTTTCTGAGGTGTCTTAGTGACTTTCTCCTTACTTTCACCTTTTCTGAGCTCTTTTGGGCCGACAGCTTGATCGTCGCTCTGTCACAGTCTTGGGCACCTTTACGAATGAAGAATCCAGGCATTATATCCAAATCTTCAAAAATTTTGAGGAAATAAATGTCCCCATCATTGAATTTTAGGACTGCTAAATAGGTGACAAGAGCTACTCTTTCCTGCTCTACATAGGTAGACTTTGGACATCAGTCCCAGATGACCCCGCCCAAACATTCATTTGCATTTTGGGTCAAGCTATGTGTGATTTATTCAACAAGACAGTGTTAGCCAAATCAGCAAATATAATCAACTCAACAATGGGCTTTGAAATACCATTCTTGTGTTTATATGTTTCGCTATCTCTTTGATAGCCACACAAACTTTCCTTTCGGGCAAAGATGATGCTGCGGGTTCTCATCAGTCGAATCAACATGGAGAAGAGATGCCTTTACAGCTTGGCTTCTCTGTTTGCCAGACCGTAATAATTTTCTAGAACATCTATTTTACCATCAGTAAGCTGACCTTTACCAGATATTCCTTTTCCATCCGAAAGTTTTCTGGGTAGAACTATTTTTATGCACACAAACTGTAAAACAATGTAATGAGAATATCCATGTTCATCTCCACTGTCAGGACATTTCAAAATGTTATCAAAGATACCAAATAAAATTGACAAATCCATAAATACTGTTCCTTTCCTTGTAGTGTCTATGTAATTTCGGTATTAACACCAAAGTTTGCTGTCTGAGAGCCAATTTTCGCTCTGGAATGTCCAGCTTCTTTGTCACGAGATTCGCCATGTTTGAATTTCTTCGCCGTCTTCGAAGGCGGATTTTATCGCTCTGTTCTTCGTATTTTTCATTTATTGACTTCAAATTACAATCCAAATAACAAAACGAATCTTTGGGAAACTAGAACAGCAACTTTTCGACTTGGAATTTAAGAAAAAACTAAGATTTTTGTCGATAATTTCACAGTGAATGCAAATGCGATCGATCACAAGACAGACAAAGAAATCGCGTTGCCATGGCTCCCCAAAGCAACCAATCGCAATGCACCTAAGTCAGAAGATTCTAAATCACATACACCAAAAGGAGAAACATAAAGAAACTTGTTTGAAGTGATTTTTGGACGAAATTTTGAGTGAATTTTGTACCTAAATGCGTTGCTAGGGCGTTGCTATGGGGTAAATTTTCAAACAAGGTAACTTTGAGAGCTTTTTTCACCTAATTTAGATTTTTTTGAAAAAAATCAACCATGCAGTCTTAATGTACAATAGTTAATGGGCTCAAAATAACAAAAAAAAATTTTTTCAGAAAATGTTCAAAAATCAGATAATAAGACGGGGTGACTACCTTAACGTAAAAATGTTGATAAACTATAAACATAGTAAATGGTCATACCTCTTCTCCAAACAGCATTTTTTATACACATCAAAATTATGAACTCTATATACTGCTTCATAATTTCATCATGAACTCTGTATAGGCTTCCTGTTCATGCGACCTTTAAATACAGTTTTGGAACTACGTAACCATCAAATATACAAACAATATGGCTTTCCAATGATTTGGTGTTTATATTTCCCACCGTGACGATTCGCGCGAGATTCTCGCGAAATATGTGTCGCAGGAGAATTTCTGCGACCTACCCGTACTTCATGTATATAGCAAACATGCATGAGAGTTTCGTGAAGAAGTGGGTTTCAGTAGTATTATTAGCGCGGTGTCCCTGTCCGTAATTTATATTCACAAAGCGAACGACGAATGTATATAAGCGAGCTAGTTTTGTGAAAACAAATAAATTTAACAAGTATCCCATATACATAATAAAATTTCAGAACAATTAAATTTGAAAAACCTTTTATTTCAATAATAAATTCTAGTTCAGCTTGCCGCAAAAAATGGTACAATTATCTAACTATTTTGTTTGAAATATTGATTAAAGTTACTGGCAGCCTCCAATATATACTAGCGAGTCAGGGACACAAAACCACCATGAGGAAAATTCTAAAAAAGGAACCAAAAATTTTTAACGTGCAGCAGTTCTACACAAAATATACAGTTCTAAATCTATTTGTGCTGTTCTGAAAACACAAATGCAGTTGCCAGTAAAGGGTAAAGGAAAATATAACTTTAAAATCTGCTTCTCGTTTAGAAAGGGCCTATAGAAATACAGTTTATAACCTACACATAATGGTACGATTCAATAGACAATTCCCATTATAGACTAATTTTAAAACTAGGCAAGGAGATGCAAATAAATCACCACAGCTAGAAAGAGCATACTAAAATGAGTAAAATTGCAAGGTTTGGTTGCGAAATGTTATAAAATGCGGGAAATATAGCCTTGCAAAGTTCGCAAATTTTGTATACTTTTGTATTGCGTGCGGCCATTTTCGGCCTAAATGTGGTAGGAATGTGGTAGGAATTTCCGCACGCAATACAAAAGTATACAAAATTTGCGAACTTTGCAAGGCTATATTTCCCAACATTTTACAACATTTCGCAACCAAACTTTGCAATTTTACTCATTTTAGTATGCTCTTTCTAGCTGTGGTGATTTATTTGAGTCTCCTTGCCAAGTTTTAAAATTAGTCTATAATGGGAATTGTCTATTGAATTTTGGAGTAAAAATATTCTGCATCCACTCCCAAAAGGTTTACTGAAAGAACCCACCGGGCACACGACGTTGTTTCAACGTTGAAATTTGGTAGAAAAAAGGTTGCGACGTCGACAACCTAATATCTACGTTGCCCTGACGTTGTTTTACAAACATTGGTTCAACAGCAGCCAACAGACGTTGAATTAACGTTCATTCATGGTTAAATGTACGACGTCGATTTGTGAACCAATCTCAACGTTTTAACGTGGATTCAACGTTGAATTATGGTTGGCGAGATTGGCAACCTAATTTCAACGTTGTTTCAACGTCGAAACAGTAACGTCGATCCAATTTGCATAGTCAACCCTTTTTCAACGTCTATCCAACGTCTGGAAGGTCATTTCCAACGTTGATTCAACGTTGGATAAACGTCATTTTGCCCGCTGGGAATTCATCAAATGAATTGGTTCGTGTGATCAAATGAACTGGTAGAATAGTTCAGGGACACTTTCACGGCCAAAATTGTAACGGAAATTAGCCATAGAGCAAAAATTGCTTACCATTTAAACAAGAAGCGAAAGATGGCTATTCAAAGACGCTGTCAAATTCCTTGCTTTCTCCTTTGCCTTCGACAATCACTGTTGTAGGTGCGTAAGGATGATCAGTTTGCTGCAGGTAAAACTACAACAGAAATAACATGAAGTAGTGATTAATCTTCACTGATATGAACAGTGAACACCATCATTGATCTGAAAACTACAATAGTTGCATAAAATAGCTGGAAAACGTCACCAAATATTCCACAACGTTTGGTCCACAGTACGAAATTATTTTTATTGATGCTGCTAGGTGTCTCCCTTCCCCAGAGTTCGTACACCTTCTCCCATTTCAAATTCCATGACTTTTCCATGACTTCCAATGACCATTTTTTTCAAAATCCATGACCTGGAAGTCTGGAATTTCTGAAATTCGTTAATATTTTGACGATAACAGATAATATAAAAGAAGGAAATTCACTTCGCTCTCGCAAAAATCTGTTATATAACAACAATTCATATTATTGTTATGACTGGTAAATTGAAATAAGTAAAATACTTTGTTATTAATGTTATGTAAAATTTCAATTTTCCATGACTTTCCATGACTATAATTGATTTTCCAGGATTTCCAGGCCTGGATTTTGGAATATTGAAATTCCATGACTTTCCAGGTTTTCCAGGACTCGTACGAATCCTGCTTCCCCCTTTTGAATGACGTTTTCAGTATACAAGATATTTCTGGTTATTGGAAACTCACGTGAGCCATTGGTAAGGCATTCTTCTTTTCGTCCTCACTCGCACGTGAACCAATCCACACAAACACGTGATTTCCTTGATCAACGACAAAAGCTAAATAACCAAATTAAAATTATCCAAATTAAAATCTAATTTTTGCAAGTGTTTTTTTATGATCCATACCAATGCATACCATCTTCGGACTTAAGATCATCTTTGTTTAGTTCTCCTGAAGATATCAATTGCACAAGAAGTTTGCCACTGTCATCTGAAACCCTGTAATATAAACACTGATCTAAGAAATATAACTGAAGAGTTTGAAAAAACTAGTTCGTCTGGGCTCACTCAATTTCATGTTCTTTTACCAACGTTACCAGATCTGGCAATTTCAGAAGGAAATGGCATTGAAGTTGAATGTCTGTTGAGGGATAGCTGGTCATGCGACTGCACCAAAATTGCTCTGTTTATATAAGTAAACTTCAATGCAATTGAATTATACGACTTGTTTTGTATGTTGCTTATGTGCATTTTTGATATTGTAGCAGTTAAACTTTTTACTAAGACTCTAAATTATTAGAGTCTTAGTAAAAAGTAATCTGACAGGTAATTATTTAGCAGTAATCAATTATTTTACACAATTAATTACTAATTCGTAGAAAAGTAGTTTGAAGAAGAGTAATTTGTTACTTGTAACAATAGACTTTTCGGAGAGCAATTGTAAATTAATTATTTTTTGGGGGTATTTTTAATTATTGATAACACTGTCCATGAAATTGTCAAATCTATAAGCAAGACTTACTTATAAAGCTTTTTCTCTGATGGGGCATCTACTTCATCCTGCAATTTCATGAAAGGAAGGAATTAGTTTATTCGGTAACATATTTCAGTGAGGGGGCCAACATTGGAGTAGGGGGAACCTGCCCCTCCCCCCTAAGATTAAAAGAGGCGTTAATGTGGACTTACTCTCGCTTTCTTCTGTCTCGGTTTACCTCCGGTTGGGAGTTTTGTATTGAAGGCATTTTTAGGTGAGATTCTGTCTTCCTCTAAAAGGAAAGAAGAGCATTTCAAAACGGAGAACTTGGAAGAAAAGATTATGTTGAAACAGGTAATCCCGAAGTTTTGATCAAATTCTAGAACTGTATGAAGTTTGATGAAGTCCTTGGAGGGATGATGGAGATTTGATCCCAGACAGTTATTCTGCCGTTGAGAGCGAAACGGTTATTCTGCCGTCAGAGTGAGACTGAAGATGCAGACGAACAGGATCCTTTTATATAATTATAGTAAAACGCGATCATGGAAAAAATCGCCTTACCCAGAGTTTCCACCTTTGGACGTCCATTTCTGTCAGACTAGGAAAGAAAGAAAACAACCTCGAAATTATGGATGCACAGATGTCATTGCTTTCATGATCAAGCAAATTAATTAATGTATAATGCGCAAAAATACAGCGCCATCTTAAATACATCGCCATCTATTTAAACAGTGTATGGAAGTTGCACTGATGAAGTGCCAAACGGAAACATGTATATCTGCAGTTTGTCATTAATGAACTTTTTATAATAGGGAAATGGCACTGGTATTTTCACGATATTTCTTACTTACCTTCAAATTCTGTACATATTGCAGAGCGGCAAAACGTTCGTCTTTATTCGAGGTCTTACCATTCCACTAAACGACAAAAACGTAAAATAAACATGACAGTATTCCCAATGGCTTTTCCGTTTTTCAACAGATTTTCATCCTGGCAATTTAGTACTAGTGCAGACTGAGGCACGCTTCCTTAACCAAGCTGACCTTATTTATACTGAGATCTGGATGACTTAAAGCTAAACGTTTCCACAACCCCTCGCCTGAGCAATTGTTGAAATTCACAACCCCTCATTCACACGTTCGAAAACATTTCAACCCCTCCTCAAGGAAATCGTAACAAATATAAACATAAATTAAAAACAAAATAAATATTGAGTTTTAATATTGCAATTTCAACTTGAAACAAAAAGTCTTCTATTGACCTTGTAACTAGATTTTTATAAATTTAATGTAACGGCTAAGACTAAAGTTGTTTATTTTACAGCTTGGCATGTGATAACACAATATATTCATTATCTACAGTGTATTAATTATTTTTTTCAATTTTTAAATTATTTATCAAAACTGCGTTAAGACTATTTTTCTGGTAACCCCCCCCCTTCTTCAAGTCAAGAATGAACGTAACCCCTCCTTCAGCGACTTTCAAAATTTTGTAACCTCTCCTCAAAATCATCCACCCCTACCACCCCTTAATAATGACCACTCCCTAAATATGATCACCAGCGTACCTGGTAGAGTTCTAAGCCAGCGTCAAAAATAAACACGTCATCAGAATCCAGAGATTCTTTGAAGCATTGCACCTCTTTGACGACAACAGATCCCTGGAAGATATAGAAAATATTGAAAACAAATATGAGGAAGAAGTTAACTTGATAAGATTAACTTCATTTCTTTTCTACAGTCTGATGGTGTGATTTCACGGCAAATAGTTTTGCATTGTTTTGCTGAAGTTTTAAAGCAGAGAGTTTTGAAAATTAAACAACCCGTATGTCGACACAATGAGTTGGGTTTTTAATACAGTTACTGGTCCAGTTCTACGTGGAGGTCACCGGTATTACCTTGTAGTATAGTGTGGTATTGTGCGTAGTGTTGTATGAATTACATATGGAACATCGGCAGCATGAGACCCTCGTCTGGAATAGAACAAACCGACCATCATCAACTCGATCTCCCACTCGTGTGAACAGCCGCGACAACGTCTTAACGGTGACGGAGCAGGAAGTAGTGACAACACAACACGTCCGAACGATGGTAGAGCACGAATGGTCGATGATGTAGCACGTATGTTGGATGTAGAGCACGTATATTGGATGCTAGAGCACGTATGAACGATGACATAGCACGTATGTTGGATGTAGAGCACGAATGTTCGAAGATATAGCACGTATGCTCGATGATACAGCACGTATGTTGGATGTAGAGCACGTATTTTCGATGAGAAAATGCATATAATCAGCGCTAAGGCACGCACGATCAATGTAAGAGCACGTACGTACTAGAGAATGCACGGTCAACTATTTAAAGTGACTGTTGTCTGTTGTTTCCGGAATCGAATACTAGTACGTAAAAGTAGTACAGCAAGAAAATTAGGACCTACTGTAATTTTCAATTAACATTAAATTAGCCTTTAGCAATTTTGTTCCTTGTATTACTTCAACTGAAATATGGCGAAAGCGTGACAAGAACAAAAGATGTTTATAAAGTAGCAAGCGAGCTCGAATAACCAAACTACTGCGCTTTTCTGAGAAAACAATTACAAGCATTTTACGGGAATTTCGAGTTTAACCGGTGTCATGAGAAATCATGTTTTCGTGAAGAACTTAATCGCTCCTACAGTACAATAATGTTCCGACGAAGGTGAAAAACTAAGCCAATATATGGCATGTTCATCAACATTGAAACGTCTCTTACAGCAGCTTGGATACTTGAGTTGGCTCATTTCTTTATAAACACCTTGTGAGACCTACCTTCTCACGTCGAAATTGAAAGAGTCTTGGTATGTACTTGGTCGGTTCAACGTGACGGAAGCCAGTTTCTGCTCTGTAAATGATCAGAGAATACAAGTAATGAGTTTGGCAGCAATTTTTTTTCTGCCCCTATTTTTTCCCCTCCCGTAGGCTATGCGTACAAGGCTACAAGCCGGGCTGGTTTCGCACAGTTCGGTTCATATGAGCAGCTCCTTACTCACAGCTATATTTCGTTTCATGTTTTTGCGTTTCGTTGCTAAATAGCAAAGCATTCGAAGCTTACCCTCCTTTCATTATGGTGATCTCGTTGAAATAACTCTTGAACATCTGGCTTTCATGTTGTTGCACTTCGCGATGTTGTACAGGCTTGTCGTTCAACTAAAGAGAACAACAATGCCTTTACATGACAAATACTTATTGGAAATCTTTGAAGCAACAACTTGTCCAACATGGGTATATATGACTGAAGTGTGTTGGTAAAAATACTCGAGCACGCGAGCATTACTCGCAGGAAATGTTAATGTCGTCTTTTGATGGATGTGAACGAGTAGATGAGTTACGAATGTTCTGAGTACATGTATCCTCATCCAAACATTCATAATCCTTCCACTCGTTCATATCCACCAGGAGAAGAATATCGAACCTAAAATCGCAGCAAAAATATTACAGGTTTAAACGGGCATTAAAAAACTTACAAATATGTCAAGTTCGACAGTTTTATAAGCTGCTGTTCCGTATTCATCCTGCGTTGAATATTTACCAATCCAGAAATGCAGATCATACAACAATTCCTGAGGGAAAATAACAATTGATAAGTTCTACCACTACAAGAGGTGGAAAAATAGACGAGCACGCGAGCAGTGCTCGCAGGAAATGTTGAACAGCTGCAGGAAATTCGTTTGAACGACGATTTGCTATTGAAAATTTGAAGGAAACCTTAACACCCATGTCACACTATTGGGCGCAACAACATATGGTTCACAGACATTATTCCTTGAATTTAAAACCATGGTCAGCTAGAACACTATATGTTTATGCACATGCAGATTTAGCACAAAAATACTCCGTTGGTCTGCAGGAAATTTTTGTCTCCAGGTTGTGTTCCCAGGAAGAAAATTCTTTTTTCCTGCCCACTACTATTTAAGAAACAGAAAACATTTCCCATGTTTCCATACAGGTAATACTATCACAAATGTGTGTTTTAATGATCAAAATATGCTTTTAAGATACTCAATTTTCGGGTTGTCATTTTGTTATTGCTGAAAAGATCAGTTGGCAAAGTTTCATAAAAATAATCAATGGGAAAACGAGCACGAAGGGCGAGTTTTCCACGTAGTTATTTCCAGCTCTCCCGAACTAAAAGCAATTGAATACAAAAAGTAAAAATGTTACAAGAACTTACCTCGGCATTTTCTTTCTTGTACGTTCTCAAAATGATGTAGGAATCTCCGCTGTAGAACTTTCCATGATCCTCTTTGGGCCAGTGAGTTACCTAGAAAGTACATGGACATGTTAACTGTGACGTCATTGCAGTTGCACATCCCGAAACTAAGACCATGGGCAAACTAGGAAACATTGTTGCGGAAACATTGTGTTTCGCCATGTTTCCTCAAGTGTTTCTGTGTTTGCCCACCCGTGGAAACATCGTTGCAGCAACACAATTTGCTTCCCGAGAAGCAGAAATGTTTCCTATCAAATTCAGAAACATTTCATGTTTCCCGAGTGCGATTTTTGTTGCGGAAACATTGTTTCCTAGTGTTTGCCGGCCTTGGGAAACATGGCCGAAACATTAGCAGGAAACAATGTTTCCTAGTTTGCCCAGGGCTTAAGTAATAGATCTTTTAAAAAGTCTGCCTTTTGTCGTAGTTTTCGGATAAAGGAAACCCCGCACAGCCATTTTGCTTGCCTGATAGGCCAAATGATCATATTTATCCGCAAACTACGTCACAGGCAGACTTTTTAAAAAGGTCTATAGACCTACAGGCAACAAACATTTACAGAAAGATGCACCTGGGTCCTGATAAATATATTAAAAGATACTCATGGGCAGTCTCTATATAAACTATACGTTCAATATCACTATGGCTAACAAAACTACGAAGCAGACTCCCTGCCGAACTTACTTTAAACTTGACAATTCGCCAGATCTGAATGCCAGGTCGTTGACCAGCTTTTTCCCATGCCTTCTCGGTTGCAGCAGATGCTTTCTTTACCTGTTGAATTCAAAACAATAATCGGTGAAAATCTAACCATATTTCCCTTTATATCATCAAACTCGCGTTTTATCAATAATCCGCGTTTCATCCTTATATCCGCGGTCCGTCTTCCCATCCGCATCCGCCATTTATCTTTCGCAGCATGTTTCCTTTGTGAAATTCATACCCACGCTGGGAACACATACTGTTTGACGTATCAAATTTCTTAAGATTTAATCAATAAGGATTGATTTAAGAGATAAAGGACCGATAAGGCTCTGTTTGATTGTAACTCTAACGCTCATTATGCACACGAATATGGCAGTATAAAGGAACAAAGCATGCATCTCAAGGCATTTTAAAACGCCATTGTATTGATTATGGCACAGTTAATAAACTGTGATTATGGTGATTATCGGTGTGCTCTGCACTGCTCTGCACTCCTAATTTTGATCAGGCCGTACGTGTACCTGGCAATTATCCAGAATAGCCAAATAAAATCTACCTGACTAAAGCCTAGTGGCAAATGTAATCGAATGAATCATGAGGTATCTGGTCGTTTCGTCCCCTTACCATTTCGTCCCCTTTACGTTTCGTCCCCACTGACCCACACTAGATACCATTCTCTCTATAAACTATTTATCTTACTTTTTTATAACATATCCACAGAGACATGACCACAGAGATAAACTCCAATAACGGGGTCCCGACAAAAAATACAAATTACTATACATGCACAAAAACATTAATTTAATTGGCTTTCGCCAAACTGTCAACAACATGATCTGAAAGATAAATTTTGAATAGAACGAGTAGAGTTGGCATTTGACGCACACCGATTTAAAGGTTCTAGGATCGTCTGGGTTGTAGACGTGTTCGAGAAGGTTAAAGTAGTATCTAAACAGTAAACTTAGTAAACTTTTAAAGGAAGCTGTAGATCTTGTAGTGTCTCTGAGGATATCGGGTAGAATGTAAGAATGTTCCAAACGCTGGGTGCTGTTACGTAAAAACTGTTTTGAAAGCTAACAGTCTTGGATTTAGGTACCTTTAGTAGAATACCATTGTCGGAATTAGAGTTTCTGGTACTAATTATTGTTTCTGGTACTTCTGAAAAGCGACTGTATACTTTTGTGTGCGAGTTCACTCATTTGCATCCGTCAGAAACACAAAATGGCCGCTGAAACACTGACTCCCCGTCTCGTACGCCTACGCGTAACAGCTGTGCGTGAGCAGTCCACCAACAAACAAAGGGCTTGCTCGAAACTTCGAGTTTTCTTTTCTAAACTCTTCAGCTAGTTCAACACAGGCGCGTTAAGGACTTAAGGTGTTTATGAAAGAATGAACGTAGTCCTTGAGAATTTGCGTCGTTTTTCGAGAATATAAATATTTATCGTTTCGCGAAAGTTCGAGCTCGCATGCAACATGTCACAGTTGGAAGGGATTAAGAATACCCAGACACTATCCTTTCTTCGTTTAAACACACAAGGAAATACGAAAGTATTTTATAAAACATCTTGCCGTAAGCTATGCCACACACTTGACGTTTGTAAGGTTGGGGTCTAGATAAAAACATCAATTCGACATCTTGCGATGGACGTGTGTATTATCATAGCACGAGCTCGAGTTTATGACGTAATATGATGGTCTAGATCTGGAAGCACGGTAAACATCAAAGCCACAAATAGAAGATATTTGTTGTTTCATGTTGAAATACACCTCACCGTGCACAAATCCTCTGTCTCAATTTCATTAAATATTATTCATCGTGGTTGCACGTTTCATCTCAGTTATTACATTGAACTATAAATAAACTGGAAGGCTAACTCAGGGAGGGGGGGGGGGG